ATCTCAAATCCCAAAAGCTTCTCTATCTTGTAAAGCAAGAAGTGAAGAAAAATTATTGATAAATCAGGTAAATAATCTTCAGTTCCTCACACAGTTGTATTCATTTAGTATTCTCTTGCTAAATGAACTAAAGGAATTAGAAATGACTTCTCACATCAGAAAAAGGCACCACATTGCAGTGAACTTCAGATCCTTCTCCCACATACTTCTAATGTGTGCATACAAGGATAACCTTTTTATCTCTCACATGAACCTGGATAATATCCTCTGATTTAAGATATTTCAAAAGGTTTACATCGGAAGTTTCATAAAACTCATGACAAATAGGTCAGGACAAGGAGCTGCAGAAACAATGAGAAGGTGTGGAGCTGCAAAATTTTGTGTCCAGGACCTGGATGATCTAATGATATCGTAGATATAAGAGAATATTTTGTGTTGGGCAATCTGATACCATCTGTCTCATGTACCTATGTAGAACTAATATTACCATGTATGTAAAGCATTTGGAGGTTGGTAACTGAAAAAAAACAGCTTTCCCAGAAAGATTAATCCGAATTAAAAGTTTAATGCATTTATAAAGGCTTAGAGAATATTATTTGATCATGGAAAGCACTTGCAGATCTTTGCTTATTGTAACAGTCACCTGGATACATCCATTTGGGGTTGGGGTGGGGTGGGGGTGTGTGCTATAAACAGAAAATGTGTGCCTGCTTAACTTTCACTTTACCTTTGTGCTGCTAACATTCTACACAAATAAATAGATGTAATGGAACCAGTTTACCTTTCTCAAAAATAATTAAATAGATGTAATGGAACCTGCTCTATATTTGGGTTCCATGCAATCATCATCAGATACCTGTGGTAACAATATAACTATTCGCTCATCAATATTATTTCTTGTATTTTACTTCCTGGATAACCTTCTAGAATAGTTGGGTGCAGTTCATTTATTCCGTTGTTTCCTTTTCTTCATTTTGAGTGAGTCATTATGATTAATCACTGTATTGGGTTTTTCTTTTCTCGTCCTCACTTCTTTTAGTTTTAAGTTTCACTTATAATATAATGTCAGTACAAATGGTTATTTACTCTTTTCGTACTTTGTCCTATTGCAGGTTGAGGTTGCTCAACCTCTGTCAAAGCTTTGTGCTCAGTTTCCTGATCTTTACATTGGTAAATTAATTGTTTTCCCTGCTGCCCATCCAACCTTTTCTCTCCTTCCTGTTGTAACAACTTTTCCTGTTTTCTTGGATATGAAGGAGGTTATCGCGAATCAAGAGAAGGCCCTCTTATAATTACATTTGAAGGGAAGGTAAATAACCTCTTGCAGAAGATGTCACATGGTTTTGAAGCATGTTCTTTTATCAAGTTGAATGAATTTGTTGTGTTGCTGTAGGATCTATCAAGAATAGAAGCTGCTTCTCAGTCATTGTGCCAAAAATTTCACCCTGGTGCATTCTCCAAAATCAAGTGACCATCCTCGTTGCCCTGGTTGTTGCTCTTGGCTTGCATAGGCCTCTAAATTTTGGACTTACTAGTGCCAAAAACTAGATTAAAGGTACAATGAAGGAGAACGATGCTCGAGAAGAAAAAGATCAAAGAAAATTGGAGTAGCTTCAATTTCAGCTCAATTGCAACTCTTGATACAAATATTTAGTATTTCATACAGTTTAAGACACAATTCTTATATGTACCTCTGGGATCAAACAGCCTTTCTGTTGCACAGACTCTTATATTCTGTACTAGTAGTTTATCATCTGCAATTTACTTGATTACTTTATGTTACTATCACTCACACTTTCTTAGCCCTTTCTGAGTTCTGAAGCACCTCATGCTACTATGAATTGGTGCATTTCACCTTTCATTTCAACCAAACTGAATCCTGGTGTTTTGTGTATACCTTCAGTTTTCATCTTCTTCCTTACTTTTTCAGCATCAAACCATCTGTTTTCTGCAGCATAAATGTTGGAGAGAAGAATGTAACGCCCCGAGTGATACGGGTCCATTTGAGTCACAATCTTGGCTATCCTTTCACCCATTTGAACCTCACCATGCATCCTACAAGCCCCTAGCAAGGCACCCCAGATGCCAGCATCAGCTTTTTCAGGCATATCTTGAATAAACATCTCTGCTTCTTCAAGCAAACCCGCCCGACCGAGAAGATCAACCATACAACCATAGTGCTCAGATCTTGGTGTAATGCCATGTACTTTACTCATAGCATTGAACAGCCATTTGCCTTCTTTAACTAATCCTGCATAGCTGCAAGCACATAAAACACCTAAATATGTTATCTCATTAGGACTTGTTCCCTCATCACACATTTGATGGAACAACATAAGAGCTTCATTTGCAAGACCATTCATTGCTAGTCCAACGATCATGTTAGTCCAAGCCAACACTGATTTTTTTCTCCGTATCGTGTAAAATACTGTAAGAGCTTTCTCAGGATCGCCACACTTGCTATACATATCCAACAAAGCTACCTCAACTTCTTCCTCCTTTATGTTCTGTTTTTCCATGAAAGAGTGGATGGCTTCACCGATATGCAGTACACCTGCATATCCACAAACTGAGAACAACCCAACTAACGTTATCCGATCAGGTTTCAATCCAAACCTGAACATATCTCTTAGCAACTCTAAGGACTTCATATACATCTTGTTCTGAGTATAACCAAGAATCATAGTGTTCCATGAGACTAAATCTCTATCTGGCATTGCTCGAAAGATAGTCTCTGCTGAACTCATATCACCTGCCTCAGAATACCCACTAAGCATGACATTCCAAGCAGTAGTATCCTTAGGCATCTGACTAAAAACAACACCAGCTCTTTCTAGTTCACCCTTTTGTATAAAACCATCAAGAAGTGAAGTCCATGAGAAAACCGTCTTCATTTGCATCCTATCGAACAACTTCTCAGCTGACTCCATATCTCCAAACTTAGCATACATATCAATCAACCCATTACCAAGATTTTCACTCATATGTATTCCTCTTTTCATAATATACAAATGTATCAACTTACCTAAACCAAAATCCCCCATTTTCAAAGAACACGAAACAAGTCCAAGAAGTGTAACCGCGTTAGGCTCAACCCCGTTCCAACACATTTCGTTAACCGCAGCCAAAACCTCATCAAAACAACCATTTTTAACAAAATCATCAATAACCACATTCCAAGAAACTACATCTGGTTCAGGCATTTCATCAAACAGGTACATGATCTCGACGAAAAACCCAAACTTTGCATACATATGTAAAAGTGAATTTGCTATATGAAGGTCCAAAACATGCCCAAATTTTATCACAGAACAATGCAATGCTTCACCAAGAATGTAATTTTGAGTCCTGCACACTGCTTTAATCACAAAAGGGTAAGTATAATGATTAGGGAAAAAACCATATCGCAACATTTTGACGTAAAAACTCATTACTTCACTTGGATTAGAGCTAGAACCATAACCTCTAATCATAGTATTGAACATGAAAGTATTGGGTAAATCAATTTGGTTAAAAACCAAGTGGGCATATGCTAAATTTCCAGTAGGAGAAAGTGCTGTAAAGGAAAGAACAGCACTGAGGAAAAGGGTGTCATTTGAAAGGCCATTTGTGATGAAATGGCCATGAAATTTCTTGAGATGTTTCATATTTGTACAGTTTTGTATAAGAAAAAGGTGTGGATTGGTAGCTAGTTTTAGAAGTTTTCTAATGGTGGATGAACACATGGCGGGGCGGAACTAGAGGGACACAAAAGGTTCATTTGTGAAAAATTATAATTGTGTTATTTGTTATGCAGGAAAAATGAGGTAAGAATGCCTCACAAGTCTCCAATTAAAAAAAAGGGACTTCTCATATATTTTAGTAAAATTTTAGGTATTTTGAGGTAAAAAATATGGGATAAAAGTATGTTTGGGGCTGTTGTGAAAAGATTTTTTAATTTCATTAATATTAATTATATATTTGTCACTTCTACCTAATATTTAAAACTTGGAGGACTCCTACCTAATTAACAAACTACTTTGTCACTTTTAATACACTATATAACATGTATAATAAACTTGGAATCTTCATGAATTTTTGTTCGAGTGAAAATTGTGGTTAAGTCAAAATTTATCCGACAAGGAATTTTACTATATTAGGACAGTTATGATTGCTATTCATCGGACCTCGGCTCTTTTATTATCAGGGCTGCAGGTGAGAAAAAAGTACCGCCTTTTTTCTTCTCATATATTTTAGTGAAATTTTAGGTATTTTGAGGTAAAAAATATGGGATAAAAGTATGTTTGGGGCTGTTGTGAAAAGATTTTTTAATTTCATTAATATTAATTATATATTTGTCACTTCTACCTAATATTTAAAACTTGGAGGACTCCTACCTAATTAACAAACTACTTTGTCACTTTTAATACACTATATAACATGTATAATAAACTTGGAATCTTCATGAATTTTTGTTCGAGTGAAAATTGTGGTTAAGTCAAAATTTATCCGACAAGGAATTTTACTATATTAGGACAGTTATGATTGCTATTCATCGGACCTCGGCTCTTTTATTATCAGGTAACCAATTTCTTTAACCTTTTTATTTATACAAAAGTGTCACCCGCGATACGTGATTTTATAATTTTATGGAGATTTATATTTCTTATAAACAATAGCTTAGGTCTTGCCATTGCCACCCCCATTCTTTGAGGTGACGCCCCTTCTTCCGGAGTTACAGCCTACACGGCTATATTATCGAGTTTCTTAGATCTACCTATGCATTTATGTGTACCTTCTTGCTTAAAGCTATTTAAGTTTTGCTTGGAAGTATGTCATGAGTTACTTCTCGAACATTGACTCAAGACATTTTACCTTTAAAAAAAAAGTACCTAGCACTTAGTTTTAAATATTTATGTAAGTATAAATTATTTCATTAAAATTAAAATAATATATAAAAAAATTATTAAGTACTATTTTTGGACCGGGACAATTTTATATTTTTTGGTATATAAATATCTCTTACTAAAAAAAATAAAAATGCATTACTTCATTTCCCCTCTTATCTCCAAATTGGTCCCTTTTTGTGTGGATTTGGTGAACTCTGGTTAGTTTTTCTCTCTTCTTTGTGGAATGCCTATGTAAATGTTTGATTCAATACTATGTATATGATTATTTTTTTCCTATTTACTCATGTTATTTTGGTGGATTTTATACATGTATGTAGTTATTTGTTGTAAAAAATTTCTATGGAAGCAAACTGAATTGCCACTAGGAACAAAATACACTGTAGTAGTTGAGAAATTAAAGGAATATCATTGATGCAGCAAAAGTGTTCGACGATATGCCTCAAACAACTGAACATTTTTTTTTTTTGTGTATAGTATCATTCAACAACAACCCTAAAGGTACATTACTTCAACTAGACTGAATTGTTTAACAATATTTTCCGCCTATTAGTATTGATATTATTATTACTCTTGAGCCGAGGGTCTATTGGAAACAGTCCCTCTACCTATGCAGTGAGCGCGCATTCTAGGTGGGACTACATTGGGTATGTTGTTGTAGTATTGTTATTATTACTCTTGAGCTGAGGGTCTATCAGAAACAACCTCTCTACCTGGGCGGTATGGGTTTAGTTTGCGGACTCTACCCTCCTCAGACACCACTTGTGGGACTACTCTGGGTATGTTGTTGTTGTAGTAGTAGTATTGCTCTCCTAGGATTTTTTCATTCGATCGTAGTATTACCTGTTGTTTCCTTTGCTTCAGTGATCGTAGTATTTGTTGTTATTGTTCTCTTCTTTATTGTTTTCAGCATGGCTACTTTATTTGCTTTGCTTTACTTGATTTTTGATATGCTTTAGTTGAGCTGAGGGTCTTTCGGGAACAACCTTTTTACTTTCACAAGGTAGGGGTACGACTGCGTACACATCACCCTCCCTAGATCCCACTTGTAGGATTACATTGAGTATGTTGTTATTTATGGGTTGTATAGCCTTTTGTTGGAGAAATATTTGTTTGAAATGCATTCAATTTGCTTCCAAGTATATAGATTTTGCAGCATTGCTACTGTTCTTTCTATAACAAGACAAGAAATGGATTATGATAATTTAGGGAAAAAGAAGAAGTGAAAATGGGTGAAGGGGGTGAGAAAGCAGAGAGAGGAAAACTTCCGGTGAAGGAACAGGGGAACTTAATGACAGCCACTGGTGATGAAAATCTCAAGGACATTTTCCACACTATCAGAATAACTAAAACTCCGGTTAGCTTGAGTTTCTACAATTTGTTTTTATTTTTGAAAGAAACAAGCTTTTCTATTCATAGATAACGATGAATTAAAGCTTTTTGCTAACTGTGTTTTGCAGGCTGTAATCAATTATGGAGCTTCTTGGTAAGTCAATTGTTCACTAAAATCTTCTATATTTGGTCTTTATCTTATCTGTACTCTTTAGATTTCGATATAAATATTGGTTCTGATATCAGGTTCATCTGAACCTTAACTTTTGACATGGAACATAAATTAATGTGTCAAAGTCAACTAAAATTGCAACAAATAGTAGGTATGAGCCCATAACTTTATATATATAACAGGTTCAATGCTAAGAACCTTAAAAGTTGAACCCATAAAGCTTAAATCCTATATCCAACTGTGATTTTTCGCATATTTCTAGCCTAGTTTATTTCGGTTGGAAGTCCTTGAGCTTTTGCTTCTGTGTTTGATCCCATTTCATCTTTTGTTACCCTAGTTTGATATAGAGTTAAAATATACCAATCTGAATGAGCCGTGAGTTGCAGAAGTAGGAAGATGAATGCACATGAATTTAGGAACGGCCAGCATTATTTCTGTACCTGTATTGATATGCAAGCTAAAGTTTTTCTGAAAAACAAATATCGTTGGTCAGTTTCATCAAACTAGTGCTAGTTGATGAAAGTTACAAGTCTGAAAGGAAACTTTTAAGGTTTACCACTTAGACTTTCCAATCTACCCTTGAGGTGGAAGTCCTTAAAGATCTCGAATGAGAGTCCGATAGATTTCACATAATTTTCGAACCTCCTATATATGCTTTTTGAAGACTAATTTGGCTGCAGTTTAAGTGTAATGTTCTTCAATGTTGTTAGGAGCTTAAGGTACTGCTTTAAATGAGTTTGTTAAAAGTCTACTGTGAATACGTGTTTGTCTTTGTCCACGCTGTGTTTCCAAAACCTGTTTAAAAGTATTTCATCTTTTTCTGTCAAGTTTGTAATTTGCTAGTAGACGTGAGGCTGTGGCTCTAGATCTTGTTGAAGCTCTCCTGGTCTTCGTCGTGTCTTGAGTTCGAAGTTGCAAAAATCTAGTGGTCAATTCTTAAGTTCTACATGTAACACCTGTGTTTCAAAGCTCTTTATAAAATTAGTTTGTCTTCCTCTGTCAATTTGTTAGTTGCTAGCGCACGAGGCCATGGCTCTAATTCTTCTTGATGTCTTCTTTCTATTGTTTACTAGTTCTACAGGATGTTCAACTGTGAACTAAGTAGATATCAATAAGGTGAATGGTTTTACTGTTGTCATTTGACTCTATCTGTGTTTTTCCCCTAATGAGATTAACTTTTATGTCTCGACTTGATTCTACGGTAGAGCATAATCCTTTCAGCTGTCTGAAATCCACTATTTGAAGAAAAGTTTTGCCGCTTCTCAGTTTTAAAATAGTAGATGGAATTAAGACACTAGGGATGTGAGTTTTGTGTCTGCTTATATGATTTTGGTGGGCATCTCAACGTTGTAATCATCAAACCAATATATGGAAATTATACTGTGGCATTGAGTGAATTCTGAAAGACATCAAATGATCAAGAAACTACTTGGAAGTTTTTGACATTCAATGACCATTGTGTTTTGCATTTGTAGGTGTCGTGTCTGCAACCAGATCCTTCCTACATTTTGGGACCTGAGCAAAAAGTTCCCAAAACTCTCTTTCGTATACGCTGATATTGATGAATGTCCAGAGACCACACAGAACATTCGGTACACACCAACTTTTCATTTCTACAGAGATGGTGAGAGGGTTGATGAGATGTTTGGTGGAGGAGATGAGCGCTTGCATGACCGTCTGTGGTTGCATTCGTAGATGAATGCTTTCAATACCAAACTTTTGTATGACATGACCAAACTTTTATCATATTTCTAGGAGAAAAGACATAAAGTTGTCTCGTATTTGCATAAAGACATCTTAACTTTGGAAGTGTCCTATCACCCGACAAAACTATTTAATATATTTGTAAATGAGCCATTTTGACCCATTTCCTCGTCTGGGTTGTTACCACGCACATGAGGCAGTGTTTTCACTGCCATTAACCAGCTATAAAGTGCTACGTGTCGTTTTATTTTTTTATTATTAATTATTTAATTAATTTACATCATCTTCCCCAAATTTAAAGAGAAGAGTCGTTGGTAGCCCTAAAATCGATTTCAACTTTTTTTCCAAAGCAAGCTCAACGTTGGTGCTCTCTCTTTGACGAATTCATTCTTTTCCATTATCTTCTTCACCCAAATTCAAAAACCCAATTACCTTTTCTTCATCTTCGTCGGCGTGCACTAACCCAAAAAAAGATCTCCCCTATCCTTTAAAGCCATCAGGCTTTCTGGATTCTTTTTATATAGAATTCAACTTAGAAGATTCATTTACTTCATCCATTTTTATCACTTTTTTTTGTCTCTTGCTTTTCTTTGTTTCTTTTTCTTCTTTTATCCTTTTTCTTTTTAAAATAAAAAATAAATGTGAACTCCATTGATTAGAGAGTACTATGAAACTCCATTTTTATTCTTATTTTTGTCTGAATATAGAACTCCATTACCTTGCTTTAGTAACTTGAGAGTTGAATTGATTTTTTTTTAGTGGCGGAAATAGTGCGGTAACAGGGAAGCATCATGGAGGCTATGTTGAAGGCGACAATGACTGCTACTTTTGGAGGATTTACAGCAAAGAACAAAGGATTTGAGTAATGAAGGTTGAAGAAGAGAGAGGGAAAAAATGAAAATTAAAAATTAAAAGAATTTAATACGTGGCAAACAACAATTGGTGCGTGATTGCACTTCTTTTCTTGCAATTGAGGTTGGGTGAAAAGTGAGATATTTATAACACTCTTAAATTGTCCGATGGAAAAATAGGACACTCACAAAGTTAAGGTGTCTTTTTAAAAATTTGAGATAACTTCAGTGATGAGTTTACGTCTTTTCTCTATTTCTAGATTTACCATGCACCATGAATTGTATTTTGCATACAATATGTTTACAGAAAAAGAAATTAAAGCAAATCAATTGATAAACTGACTTGCATTTCTCATTATGATAAAATGATCACAATAAACAAATTTCATCAGACAGGAAGTTGTATGATAAAAACATATATAAATTGGATAAAACAAGGAGAACTTAAATCACAGCTACTCAATAACCATTACAAATTAGAAATAAGGTACTGCAGAAAAGGTAAAGAAAGAAATAGGAAAATAACAAATGTTCAGTGACTCGGAACGGAAACGCTTGTTCTCTTCTTCCAGCACCAATGCAGCCTAGAAAACAAATATCAATATCAATATCAATGTATGATATGATGAAGCTTGTTTATTGGTCCGCGACAAGAATAATGGCCAGTACAAATTTAACTGGCCAAAAAATTGTAATGCAAGACCTCACTCAAGCTTTTGGCTTGAGGACCTTGACAGTCTCCCAGGTGAAATCGGGGTCATCACGTCCAAAGTGACCGTAAGCTGCAGTCTTCTGGTACCTGAAGTTGCCTCCTCTCAACAAATCAAGGTTGATTGACATCATTCCAGGCCTGAAGTCAAAGTTCTCCTTGATCAGAACCAAAATATCCTTGTCGGGAATTGTTCCTGTCTTGTAAGTGTCAACAAACACGGAAAGTGGTTCAGCCACACCGATAGCATAAGAAACCTGCACAATACAGCGACGAGCAAGTCCTGAGGCAACCACACTCTTTGCTGCCTGCCTAACAATGTAAGCACCACTCCTGTCCACCTTAGTGGGATCCTTTCCTGAGAAGGCACCTCCACCGTGAGCACCCCAGCCTCCGTAGGTATCAATGATAATTTTCCTGCCAGTAAGACCAGCATCTCCATGTGGACCACCAATGACGAAGCGACCTGATGGGTTGAGGTGGAAGATGGTGTTCTCATCAAGGTACTGAGCTGGGATCACAGGCTTGATCACATGCTCTTTCAAGTCCTGGGCGATCTGGTCGTTGGTGACAGTTTCGTCATGCTGGGTTGAGATGAGAACAGTGTGAACTCTAATAGGGACCATGGCACCATTGTCGTTCTTGTACTCAACAGTAACTTGGGTCTTGCCATCGGGCCTGAGCCATGGGCAGGTTTTGTTCTTCCTCACTTCAGTAAGCTTGGCACCAAGCTTGGTGGCCAAAACATGGGTAAGGGGCATGAGCTCTGGAGTTTCATCTGTGGCATAGCCAAACATGTGACCTTGGTCACCAGCTCCAATATCTTCTGGTTTCTTGGTAAGATGACCGTGAACTCCTTGGGCGATGTCAGGGCTCTGCTGTTCAATGTTGACAAGGACCTTGCAGTTGTCAGCATCAAGACCAACATCTGCTGAGATGAATCCAATTTCTCTGCATGTGTCACGTACAATCTTCTCGTAGTCTACGTTGGCCTTGGTTGTGATCTCTCCAAAGACCATAACCATGTTTGTCTTTGTGCAGGTTTCACATGCGACCTTGCTTTCAGGGTCCTGCTCTAGGCAAGCATCAAGAATGGCATCTGAGACCTGGTCACAGAGCTTGTCGGGGTGACCTTCGTTGACTGACTCTGAGGTAAACAAGAAAGTTTCCATGTCTGCTCTGACCAAATTTAAGACAACATGTTAAAACCTACCTTAAAATAGTCAATTTACGAGTAAATCAAGGAAAAACTGCCAGTGCTACACATGCGGCAACTATTATCCAACTATAAGTCAGCTACTATCCAACAAGATCATACTATAAAACCACCACACATGCACATATCATATTCCCAATAAACTATCCCACTTAGAGCCCGTTTGGATTGGCTTAAAAAAAGTAATTTTTAAGTCGAAAATAAAAAGTCAAACTTAAATGACTTTTGAGGAGGCCTACTTTTGGTTTTTAACTAATTTCAAGATATTTTTAACCTTGACAAACATTTTCTAACTTATTTTAAGTTATTTTTATATTTGCCATAACACTGAAATTAGCACTTAAACTACCCAAATTGATGGACACAAGCCTTTTGATCAAATGTAGTTCCTCGCACTTTAAAAATAATAATTTGTCAATGAGATCTGACTACTAGTTTACCAATGTGAACAAATATCATAACAATCAAAGTTAATATCACTAGTAAACAAAGAGATCTAAGCACAAACCAAAGGAGTAAACACGCAACACTTGCATATGCTTTCGAAACGAATCAACGTGTATGACACAACAAAATGAGAATATTTACAGTAGAAATGCTGAGATCTAGATCCTAAATCAACAAAAAAAATACACGAAGAGCAATGTCAGATCTAATACGAAACTAATGGAGCAAAAAAAAGGAACAAAATCAAAATCTAATAGTGAAAAGGGGAAGAAACATGTTAGCATATTGGAAAATGTTGCAAGACAACCACTAATTTACATACATTTGAGCTTTTCGAAACGAATAAACATGTATGAAATCACAAAATAAGAATATTCACAGTAGAAATGCTGAGATCTAAATCCCAAAACACGATTCATAACAGATCTAATGGATCAAAACAACAACAAAATCAAAAAATCTAATACAGAAAAAAAAAACAGTAAATTCCTCCATGGTTTTAAAAACACACCTTTGATAACAACGCATAACAATTGCATATTAAAAAATGTTGCTAAAAACCCACTAATTTACACACATTTGACACTTTTTGAAATAAATAACATGTATAAACTGACATCCCGAGAATATTCATAGTATAGATACTGAGATCTAGATCCTACACACATAACACTTGCATATTAAAAATTGCTGCTGCTTGAAAACCACAAATTTACCCACATTTGAAACTTTTCAACACCAATCAACATGTATAAGCTGACATAATAAAAAAAATTCAGCGTAGAAATACTGAGATCTAGCTCCTAAAATATGCTCGAACAAAATTCATAGCAGATCTAATAGAACAAATCAAATACAAAAAAAAAAAACTGTAAATTACTCCATGAATTTGAATATATACCTCTGAAAAACAACACATAACACTTGCATAACAGAAAATGTTGCAAAAAAAAAACACTTTTTTACAGTATGGAAGGCCCTAATGAGTACATTTACGGTAGAAATGGTAAGATCTAGATCTTAATTTTTTTTAAAAATGGTTTATAACATATTTAATAGATCAAATCAACAACAAAATCAAGTAAATTCCGTCATGAATTTGAGAAACATACCTTTGAAAAATTGAAGAATTTTTTTCCGGATGGAAGAAATTAGAAGAGATTTGGATCTGTGTGACGAATTTGGAGATGTTTTGGTTCAGTATTTATAAGCAGCGAAATTGAAGAGAAGGCGCGTAGACTTCACTCGCTTTTTTTTTTCTCACGTCTTTCATACACCACCAACCAACCTATGGCCCACATGTACCTTCTCTGTGGGACCCAAATTTAACACGCATTTACCATCTCTATGGGACCCCACCCACCATTTATTATTTAACGGTCAAGATCGTTTCCTAAATTTTAGTGTAGCTTATCATTTCAATGAACAAGTAAAAATAAACGAAAAAATAATAATTTAAAAGTTGGAGGTAAAGGAAGGAGAAATGGAGGAATAAATTATAACGTGGGAGGATCGAATCTTTATAATAAAACAAGGTGAAAGCTCAGATAGCTAACTAAATAAGCTACTAAAATTTTGATGTAGGTTATCATGGAATTGGGGTCGTGGTCGTTTAATTAGAGAACAAGTTTTTTTTCAAAATTAATAATTGTGATCTTATAATATTGTCATTCATGATAAAGGAATTATTTAGTAAATATATTTTTATTAGTATATGTATTTTTTTTATTAGATTAAAATTGAGATATATGATGATAATATAAATTATGTATTTGATTTAAATCAACTAGATAAAATAGCATAATTTTTTATTTTCAAATTTAAATCTAATTTTCTTTTAAAAACTTTGCTTGACGAGTTTTGAAGAAGGGTCAATAAATCATTTTAATGTTAAATTTCGGAATAAATAGTTCTGAAATTATTCGTCCGCATGTAGTGTGAATAAAAATAATACTATCATAATTGAGGTATGAATAACCCCAAAAGTTTTTTCTTGTGTTTTATTTGCATATTTCTCGTATTATTATTTAC